TATATATGGATACATATTGGATATATACTGTACAATCATGACCACTTCTCCCAGAAAATTGTTGCAATCACAAATGCTTTGGTACGTATTCTCATGTTTATTTCTTTAGTTTGCATTTGAACAACACAAAAAAGCAGAAAAAAAGCCCAATCTGATCCATTCCACACAGAACTCCAAAAATGGACTGGACATAATTATTGACAGTCTTATCTTAATATTGGGTAGCACACCCTTTGGACAAAATAACTGAACTCAGTCACTTCCTGTAACCATCAGTGAGTTTCTTGCACCTTTACCGGAATTTTGGTCCACTCTTCTTTTGCCAGCTGCTCCAGGTCTCTCAGATTTGAAAGGTTCCTTCTACCAGCTGCTGTTTTGAGATCTCTCCACAGCTGCTCTATGAGATTTAGATCTAGATTCATTGCTGGCCACTTCAAAACTCTCCAGTAAATTATCTGGGTGCTGTTTAAAGTCTGCTTTTGGTCACTGTCTTACTGTAAGATGCCTATAAGAGACTGGGTTTTTTGATGACCAAAGTACAAACCACCTACAAGACCACAAGACCAGCAGGCATCACGAAAACTGGAAAAGAGGCAGTGTTCCACTAAGTCAGAAGAGTTTTTCCTAGCCTTGAAAGATAGTATAGTAACTGAAAGCTTTTTTCGGTTCTTTTGACCAGGAACTCAGAGAGACGAAGCGGACCACTTGGATATATAAAAAATAACCGTGTAGGTTTATTCAAATAATCACAGGTAAAATTAACATTACACGTCCCGGTATCTTCCACCTCCAATACTGCGCGCAGGCAGATGAAGAATGAAAGACCCTGAACCACAATAGGCCTATACATTTATCACTTCGGTTGGGCTATCCCCATTCTACACAGCAACGTCAAACCGTGGCGTCACCTGATATGCCAGCTTTACAGCTGACCATAGCAGTAGTCAAAACATGGAGAGAATCAATGTGTGTGAGTGTTGATTAAGTGGTGTGTATCTAAGAACATTCTGACATGACATCTAGTGACATGTCATGACATTAAAACATAAGAAAATATTATGATTACAATTACGGTTAAACATATCATAATAATAACAATAATCATCCTGCCTGCTGACAATCAAACTTTTTCTATCTAGTTATCCTTGACCATGTGCACCCTGCAAAACTCATGAGAATGACTAAGCATTTAACAGCCTACCTAGACATCCTGTCTCCACTAAACATTTCTAATACAACAAGTATCTAACCAATTTCTATCTGACTAAAAAAATACCTAACAAACACATAAAAAAGCCCTTCTTATTGCCAGAACTGCATATTATTCAGGACCGATAGAGGAAATTAGGAACAACTCCTGACATTGTACTGTAGCCAGTGTTATGGCTGACAAAGAGCCATTGTGCTGTAGAGCTTAATATTCAATTAGATCTCAGCAGTAATGGCTTTATGAGCTTCTTTACAAATAAAATCACAACTATTGGAGAAAAAAATATCATCAGATCATTCACACAACTCTCACAGATATAACATCAAGTACAACAGCTTTACAAACATTTGTAAGACCTCATTTATATTTAGACTGCTTCTGTCCCATAGATCTCTCTGAGTTGACCTCAACAATTGCTTCATCTAAATCATCAACATGTCTCTTAGACCCCATCCCGACCAGGGTGTTCAAAGATATTTTATCCCCAATCAATACATCCATATTAGATCTGATTAATTAAACGTCTACTAAAAAAGCCTACTCTTGGCCCAGATGTTCCTGCTAATTATAGACTGATATCCAATCTCCCCTTTATTTCTAAAATTCTGGAAAAAGCTGCTGCAAAGCAGTTATGTGATCACTTGCACAAGAGTGATTTTCATTCAGGTTTTAGAGTCCATCATAGTACAGAAACTACACTTGTGAAAGTCGCCAACGATCTCCTCCTAGCCTCAGACAAAGGACTTGTCTCTATACTTGTCCTCTTCGATCCCAGTGCTGCTTTTGACACCATTGATCACAGCAATGAGGAAAAAGCTAAATAGTCTCTCTCTGTCTGTCTCTTTCATTTGTGTTCCTGTCTCCCTGAGCAAACGATGCTTGGGGTTCTATTACTCTCTTTCCCCTGCAGTCACACTGTTTGTGTTTCACATGCACCTCTAGCCACCATTAACTGTGTGAATTTGGGTGTGTATGTTGGTTACTCTGTCTTATACATTAAATTTGTCTCCACATTATTTTCTGTACTTTTGCCTCCACATCTCTACAGTTACATTTTGAGCCCTCTGCCAATTAATTATCAAAGCCAAAGAAAGGATTTTTCATTAGCATTCATTTAAATATACCTTTTATGAAATGTGCATTACTCAGAGACACAAAGAATTGGAGAAATTAATAAAACTGAGCTATAGTTAGAAAAAAATATTCAAAGAGGTTTATGTTTTATTAGTTCATTACAAATGTGTAGCCTGTAAGTCCAAGCCAAGACTTTAAAAAAGTTCTCCAGAGCCACAGAAGACATCATACAACTTTAACAGGCTGAATGGGATTAAGCATGACAAGTAAACAGTGTTCTATGTAAAAATACTGTATGTGAAGACCTCCACGGTTTAACTGTTGCAGTGTTATGTAAAATCATCATAGCTGACATATTCAGGAAATGTCCAGCTTCCAGTGCACAGGTCAAATTCAACTCTAGGAAGCATGAAGGAAGCATAAACATTATTGCCAAGTATTATCAAAAATACAAGGAATTTGACTCCAGCCCAATTGCCCTCGATGTACACAGCAATAAAAACAAAATAAATACAAAATATTTACAAGTTGAAATCATTCATTGAACTCAGTGAACTGTACCAACAGACATGCAACCAATCACAGTCCTGTCTCAGGATTAGTTATGTCTCAGTGGTTGTACAGTTGGATATTTATAGTTGATTAAATTATCTGGACTAATACAAACCGGCAACCTGTGTGTGTGTGTGTGTGTGTGTGTGTGTGTCTATTATGAGAATAAGGTATAGTAAAATGCTACAGCTTGGTGAGTTATGCAGAAACACACAGAAACATCAGTCATGCTAATTACAGATGACAGCATTATAATTGTATTTGAGAGTATTTGCAAGATCTCTCTCTCTCTCTCTCTCACACACACACACACACAACCAAATGATTCATCGAGTTCTCAGTGCCAAGTTGTCAGTGTCATTCAATCCTCTTATAGCACAGACTGCAAAGCACACACACACACGCTCAGAGTAAAGACATGGGATAGACTTCAGTTACATCTAGACCAGTTAATTCCTGAAACGCGCATGTGTTTTATTTGTGTCCACTCTTATGTTACTCTTGAAGAGGCATACAGTATATAGTTCCTTGTGACGAGTGTGTGTGTATGATGCTTTAATCCAATCTTCAACCCAAAAATACAAATATGAAACTCCAGAAAGCCAAAGTAGTAGAAACTATATATCTGAACTCCTGTGTGATCTTCATCTTTGTCTTTACATGTAGAAGCTGCTGGAGAACTGGAGACTGACCCGCTCACCCTAATGGAGGAGAGAGAGAAGAAGGAGAGAGGTATCATGGGACAAGATCAAGAAGAAGGGGGCAAGACAGAAGGACAACCTGCCAACATGAATAGCCAGGATTCCATGACAGAAAATGAAGAGAACTGTGTTGAGCTTTGTACAGAGGTGGAGGAGAAAGGGAAGGAGAAGGGAATGGAGGAAGGAGAGTTGAAGAAAGAGATAGAGCTGGAGGCGGAGGTGAAGCTAGAGCTGTGCCAGTCTATTCCAGGCCTGCAGATGAGCCTCATCCGGGGAACTGACCTGTTTGGCTACGTGGGCATCGAGGCAATACTGGACCAGATGAAGCGCAAGACCATGAAGGCGGGCTTTGAATTCAACATCATGGTGGTTGGTGAGTCTCACACATAAATACAAACACAAATATGTTTCTAATATGCACACTAAGATGATCATATAATGTTAACAGAAGTCTGACATCAATTAAAGCAGACACTGTGGTGAGTGTGGTGGGTTACAAAACAGGCAAGTTTCAAGTTACTGCAAGTTGATTTTAAAGGTGTTGTGAAATCAGTATAAACAGGTGGCTTCCTGGAAAGTAGGGAATACACCCCTTCACGGTGCTGAAACACTACAACATGCTGTTAAAAACACAGGAGCCACCAGTGTGCTGGAACCAGTTTGCGGGGTACAACCTAACACATTTTTTTGTGAAATAATAAATAAATAAAAAAATTGAGTTGGAACAATTATGTTTTATGCAAGCAACATATACATCTCTGCCACTAATGAACACTTGAATTTTATTTCTAACACGTACTGTTCCTCTACACTTCCACTGAAAACAAGGCGAGACGCGATATTACAACTTAGCCCATGGGTGGGGTCAACTGTAACAGATAAAGTGTTAGTTGTAATACAAGCTAGAGAAGTTTGATAAATTGGTGCAAACAAAATTAATTCAATATAATTACGTTGTATCAAACAAGGATGTTTCCAAACTATACTGTATTTTATAATATCGATCTATATGGCAGATAGACTGTTATGGTATGTTATAGACCTATCAGTTGATATGTACCCACTTACATGTCAGATTATATAGGAATGTGATATGGGACTGTGTGTCAAACGATGAAAAATTTCTTTTCTGTCCACAAGGTAGGAGGTCAAAAAAAAATAACATCACAGGTCAGTAAAATATGGATTGTTTTCAAAAATATAGCTTCTTGTCATTGTTTACATATGTGGGGTTAGTTGTAATGTGGTGGCTGTACTTCAGCCTAGCTAGCACTTGCTGTGAGCTCATCAGATATTTCAGAACGGTGCAATTTTCTACAACAAGGTGGTCATTAAAGTGATATAAATATGGATTTTGTGATTTACACATATACCCCACTAACTGAAAAATAACTGTGATGGAAAAAAAAAGACTTTTGTGCTCTGAAAACTCAAAATGCAAAACTATGGTAATGTGACTGGAAATGCCGCTGCTTAACCTTGTGTAACCACATGAAAAGTCTGTGTTACATTTTGCCTCGCGTTAGGTTATACCCCACACTCCCCTAAAATCAAACTTACCTCTACTACCCCAAATCAGAAAAAGTTGGGACAGTATGTAAAATCTAAATTAAAGCTGAAAATAGTTTTTTTTAAATCATCTGTGTCCTGTATTACATTGAAAACAATACAGCAGCATGTGCTTCTGGACACTGTTGACACAGGGCTTCCTTTTGGCACAGTACAGTTTTAAGCGGCATTTATGGATGTAACTACGTATTATAGTGCCTGACAGAGGTGTGCCAAAGAAATCCTGAGCCCATGTGGTTATATCGCTTATAGAAAAGTGCCGATTCTTGATACAGTGCTGTCTGAATCATTACTGCAGTCACCTGCTGACATCACCTGTTTCAAATTAAATCATCATTTAATTGTTTTACCTCATTACTGGCCCTGAAATGCAGCCGTCCCAACTTTTTTTTGGGAATGTGTTGCAGCATCAGAATTGCAGTGAGTGTTTACTTTGAACAAAGAATAAAATTGTTGAGGTGTCACATCAGATAATGTGCTACTGTATTGTTTTCAATGTAATAGAGGGCACAGATGATTTACAAATCACTATTTTCAGTTTTAATTTAGATTTTACATATCATCCCAACTTTTTCTAAATTGGGACAATATGAAAAGAAATAATAGATAAAATGATGCGTTGCTTCTTGTCAAGGTCCTCCACGGTCCTTTTTTGCAAGAAATTTACATGTAAACTTAGCAAGCAATTTAACAGAACATGAATTTAGCTACTATTAAATATGTAACTAGAACACATATTACTGTAATACAAAATAATTATGAGCAGCTGACTAATAGATTAGTCAGTCTCACACATTTAACATTAATTAGCTAAAAGCGACAGTCACAGGAAAAGTTCTATATGACGGTATAGCAGGAGAAATTGGCAGTCAGTGAGTTTGACTTGTAAAGACATGGATGATGTACTGTAAATGATAATTAACATTGGGACTTTTTATTGTTCAGTCCTAGTCAACAGTAATGCAAAATATAACAGATTTGTAGAAAAGAGGTTAAAACTCAGATCCCAAAACTCCTTCTTTCTTTTTGATAGCACTCATACTCACCTCCTCAGCAGAGCACAGTGCTGCTTTTCACTGCATTCACCTGAAGCTGTGCCATTTCACACACATACATACACCCACCCACTGCCTTGCTTGCATCTTACTTTTGTGTGTATGTCCATCTAAAAATGCTTTCACTGATTCAAACCAACCACCCATGCTTTCGCAAGTCACAGAGCTCTACTGAGGGTTCAGCCTCTTCTGAGTCACTCAGCAAGGCTCTTCAGTGCGGCAATCCTGCAGTCTGACCAATGCAAGCTGACATGATCGACTCCAGGTCTCTGGGATGTGATAGGATTTCCTCACAGTTCTTTGTGTTTTCCCTTTTCCTCTAGAATATGAAAGTCAACAGTAATGTCCTATACTGTATCTACAGTGACTCTGCATTGTCTGTATGTGTGGCTCTCTTCCTCACTGAAAAATATTTTTGATTTTCAAATTGGAAGAGGAAGCATGATTCTGTGTGGAGGAAGTGGTTTTGAAAGTTCAGGCTGTCTTCTGTTTCCTGCAACAGACATTTAGAGGTAATAATGAAAACAGGAAGTTTACCTTTGATGATTAGCATGCTAATTGTTCGCTTTGTGTTTATTATAACTTTATTACATATCGGATCTTCGAGGTTTAATAGATGTGATCTTGTTTCATCTATCAGTGTGTCTGTGTGGGTGTAAATGCAAATGTCTCCAGACCTTCATATTGGATCATAGTTAATTACTTAAGTTTTATTTAAACAAGAAATCTCACTGAGATTAAGATCTCTTTTGGCAGAGAGACCTAAGAACAAATTACATTAAGTATATACATACATGCAAATCACATACAGCTCATTCAACCCTGATCATCACACACACACAGCAAAAATAAAACAAGCACAACTATTGTTAGCAATACTAGGTAGTAAAATTATGAAGTCTCTCAAAGGAATGAGTTTTTTTATTTTCATGCTATGTAGTGAGATGCATAGTAGCGAAAACCAGTCTCACCCACATCAGAGCTGGTTTGAGGAACTTGCCAATCCAAATTCTCCTCTGGTGTGGTGTCATGGTTTTCAGCTCTGAGCTAAACTAAGGATGTTAAATATCTTAACAGCTTAGATAGCAAGGCTTTATAAATGAAAACACAGATATGATGATGCCTTATAGTTGCCAGTGATAACCATCCAACCTTTTTATATAAATCACAGTAGCGATTAGACTCTGTAATGAATCAACATTGTCCAGTGGTTTAAGGATAGAAACAGCAGCAGAAGTGTACAGGACATCTCCATAATGCAATGTTAGACAAGACAGGTGTATATTGGTTTTCTGATCTTCAAAGGAGAAGACAAGGTGTCTGTTTTGGTATAAGATTATAATTAGAATTTTGATTTTTTTGAGCAAAATGTCCAACCTGAGTTTTGCTGGACTATGTCTTGTTACATTGCCATTTAGAACATGGATAGCTTTGGGAACATCAGTGATCTGAGCTTTTGTGAAATGTACATACTTTGGGTTTTTGGAGACACTTATGTCTCCATTCTCTGTTACACAGGACAATGGCAGGGTGCAGGGACTGTCCACAAAGGGCAACACAAAAAAGAGAAACTACAAAAATATTCACTCTAGCCTAATGTCTCCAAAGTCACGTAACACATCATTGGTCTTCTGTTGGTTATAACACTTGCTATAGCTTGGAAAAATGTGTCTAAGAGCAAAGCGACTGAATATTTTTGTAGTGCCTCTTTTCTGTGTTACACTTTGTAAATGGTCCCTGTGCAACCGTTTCACAGCTGGCTGAACATATGACATTTTATCTAAACAGCTCATTTTGATGAAATGTTGTAGCTCATGGTCTGTCTACCTTACCGCAGTAAAGAGACATCATCTGTGTTTTAGCAGTGTTTGGCTTATGATTTATTGATCTGGGAACTTTGAATCTGTGAATATTTCATGCTAGGACTGGTCTTCTGCTAGTTGTGATGTTTTTTCAGGCAAGAAATTCACCATTTAGATTTAGAATATGTGGTCTGTTTATCCCAATAGTGCCTAGGCTTATTTTTAGGTTTGCTCCAACAGTTTCCAAGATGTGAATACCAGCTAACGGATGAAGAGTGAGGCAACACAGAAATTGCAGGAAAATAAGAGTCCTCAGAGTGCATCTCCTTTAGTATTTAATATATAGTACATACTGCCTTTAGCTAACAACCATAAAATATATTTTTTTATTGCCTTCCAAGATTTTTTTATTTTTGTGTTCATCAAGGCGGTTTAGGGGAGTTCTAGAGTCTTTCAACTTCTAATCCAACACTGATACTGCAGTTTCATGGTGCTGACAGGTTGTGAAAGCTTGTTATTGTCTTTTTTTAGATAAGGGGACATAGCACAAATGACAGATTAAATACTAAACACTCTTACACACACTTAGAGAATGATTAAAAGCATGGGTTTAATGTGTCTGCAGGTCAGAGTGGTTTGGGGAAATCCACACTGGTCAACACTCTGTTCAAGTCCAAAGTCAGCCGAAGGTCCAACTATGAAGAGAAGATTTCCAAAACAGTCAAGCTGCATTCAGTCAGCCACGGTGAGTCCACATAAACATGCATTGTGCAACACTGTCGTTTGTTTCCAGCCATGTGTTTCTGGCTATAAAACCAGACTCTCTGTGTTCCTCTTTCTCCATCAACTGATTGCTTTTGTTTGAGCCATGGTGAGAAAGTTATGACTGATGATCTAGTAGGAGAGAGCTCTCACATCCTACTTTCATATCACTTTTTTCACTTCGTGTCTTATGAGTAGGAATCCTGGTTTGGACTGTAACTGCTTCCAAAAACCCATTCTCTAGTTTTGAAAGCTGTTGTATATTTGTTGTTAGATGAATTCAGAATAGGTTTATTTCACAGTGTGCATATCCAATCTGCACTACAAACTATAAGTGGATATAATGTACTGTATATCAAGTCACCTAAATTGCCTTGTGGTGTATTTATAAGGACATTTGCTTTTGTAATAATGGTGAAACCAGAGGTGAGGGACTCGGGTCAGACTTAAGTCAAATTTGAAGACTTGAGACTTACATGACTAACCCTGATAAGAAACTCAACATGACTTTGACTTGGTGTTCATGACTTGAGACTTGACTTAGACGTGAGACAGATGACTCAAAATGTATTCACTTTTTTAAAATTAAATATTGCATCTTCTAGATACTGAGAACTTATCTTTTTTTTTTTCAAAACATCAATTTTGTAATTTCTTGCACAATGTGGGCAAACCTGGCAACCCCCCAGGTCACAGGATGCAGCTATTATGGAGGGGCCAATCCCAAAAATAACATTTGCATCAAAAATAATATTTGGATTTGTCATGGACCAAGCAGTAAGGCAAAAGACACAGCTTTCAAAGTTCAAAACAATGGGCTTTTTTATTAACCCAAAAGGAAGGAAAAACACAAACATTAACATCAGATAAATTGGGCCCTAAAAAGAGGTCAACAGAAGATAAGGAAACTCAAAATACAGCAAACTGAACTGTCTGATACCTCAACAAAAACCAACTGACCTAACAAGTGACACATAGTGATGGCCGTTTGACACCCGAGACTCAGCCACATGCGCGGTAGCTCATAAAGCAATTGTTTCGAACCACTGTGCCGAGGCGTGTTTTGGTCACATAACTAGTGACGTTTGAATCACTTGAGTGACGTCCGAAGCAGTTGGGTTCGTCGGACGTCAGGTGAATCAGCAGATTGGTTCAGTTTGTCATGTGAATCACTTTGCGGGATCAAGTGTGTTCAGAGACAGGATATCCCTGTTTAGTGGTGTTCATTTGAATCTGTCTTTGCAGAGTAGGTTGGTTAGTTGCTTTGAGAGTTAGTAGTGTTGTAGCAGACTGTGTATTTAGTGGAGAATCACTGTAGATAGAGAGATAGATCAATATATAGCTAGATAGTAAGTTACATAGAGAAATAGATAAAGTAGTTACATAGTTAAATAACACTAGATATAGTTACATAGATAGTCCTAAATAACATTAGATATAGATAAGATATATTGCATATATAGTTACCCAAACCTCTATGAATTATCCAAGCATTTCCTGTGTGCCCCATCCTCATCTGTGCCATGTGAACGGTTTTTTTTCCAAGGCTGGGGAAATAATAATAATACCGTAATAATAAAGCTTTATTTATATAGAACTTTACAACTCCGGGGAGCACAAAGTGCTGCACAATAGAACATGTATATCAACTAAAAAACAATACTAGAACAATAAAACCTAAGCAAGAATAAAACACAAATTTCCAAAATCGGAGTAATAAAAACTTCCATCAAGATACAAATAGCACAAAACAACAAGTTAAACCATGTCCCTTCGGGACAAATAAAACAGATTAAACACCAAAGGCCTGTTTAAAAAGGTGAGTTTTTAAAGTTGACTTAAACACTGCTAGCTGGGTTATGGACCGAAGCTCTAGCGGTAAAAAATTCCAGAGTCTGGGACCATACACAGCAAAAGAGCAGTTGCCCCATTGTTTTATATCGAGACCGTGGGACAACCAAGGACAAGTGCTCTGAGGAGCACACAGCTCTGCGTGGAGCATAGATAGCTAGCAGCTCCAGCAGGTACAGTGGAGTGAGGCCATATATAGCCTTAAAGACAAATAGCAACATTGAAACTCAACTCTCCACTGTACTGGCAACCAGTGTAGGGAGAAAAGAACAGGGGTAATGTGGACATACCTGGGAGTGTTCGACAGCAGCCGAGCCGCAGCATTTTGGACCAGTTGAAGCTTCCGAAGCAAAGACTGAGAAATTCCGACGTAGAGGGCATTAGAGTAGTCTAGTCGCGAAATGATAAAAGCGTGGATGGCTTTTTCTAAGTTTGCACACGATAAGAAAGGCTTCACCTTCGTTAAAAGTCTCAGGTGAAAAAAACTGGTTTTAACCACAGCCCTGATCTGCTTATCAAAATTAAAGCGAAAACTGTGGATATACTGTTATTTCTCAATAAACACTCATAAACAGTTACACAAGCACACCCACTGCCCTGTTCTTCAAGCACACCCTCTTTACCCACATGCCCATGAACCTCTTTACCAATGAACCCCAAAACAAACTTTGTCGAAGTCCACACTATAATCTGTATTTGCCCATGTGAAAATGACATCTGTCTGAATTTGTAGTCCACATGTCATGAATGTAGCAGCACTATTTAAATGTTTTCTTAACACAAAATATAAGTGAGTAGCATATAGGGTTACAGTCAGACGTGCCACATAAGAAACATGGTCTTCAACATGTGTCCATGTTTATTTCATATTTTATTGTGTCAGCTTGAAACCATACAACCATGTAGTGTAGTCGAACAGGAATGTGCATGACGAATCAAATAGCAATCCATGAACCAATAAGCGACACGTCTTGACTGCACCTCAATTTCTTGACCACAAGGTGTCCTACTCGAGCACTGTGTCATTGAGGCCTCGAGTAATGACCCGTTTGTGTGAACACTGTGTCGACGCTTCAACAAGGCCTCATTGGCCATCACTAGTGACACACACACAGACACATATATATTGGCTGGCCAAACCAATAGCACACACAAGGGGTAGACCAAAGACACTACCAAAATAATCAACTAATAAACACTAAACAGACAGTCTGTTCTCAACTAAATATTTCCTTTAAATGTGAAGAAATTAACATAACTTGACAAATAAAGCTTTAACATAAACTACCAACAAATAAACAATAAATTTCTCCCCTTCCTCTTTCATTGGGCACTTGGTGCAGTCCAGGCCTAGTGGGAGGTATTTAAATCTGCTGCTTCCTCAGTCCAATCTTTTGGCTGAACCCCCCCATCCATGGACCAGGAAACACGGTAACTCAAAAGAAAATTTACACATATTAACAATACAAAATTAATCAAACGTGCATGCTCATAGATCAATTGTGTATGTATAATATCAAAAAATACGTATTTATCTACAATTTAACCTACACACATAACAAAATTACCCACCCAAATCCATTGCTGGTGGTGATTTAGGCCCTCACATGGTGAAGGCGAGGACAGAGGCCTTCACAGGATTCAAGGATTATGGTGTGGATGATGGTAGCAAAAAGACAATAGCCTCATGCTGTCTGTGGTGCAAAAATCAATGACAAACACCACAATATCCCGCTTCATCTGTCACCAATAAAACTTACAAAGAAAGGTAAGTAACATTACATGAATGGGTCCTTTGAGGTAGCGTCAGTTAACTTTTTGGCTGGTCAGACTTTAGCTAGAAAATCAACATTAAGTTAGAATTTGTTAGACTTGGCTTCAAATCAGTTCCACATTTTATTTAGTTTATGGGTTTAGTTTGTAGCCTACGAATGCACAGTTAACAACCACAGGAGGTTTGTGAGCATTTGAACTAATGATACTGCCATAACATTATCAGTTCATAAGAATTTTTTATGGCTTGACCCAGGACTTGCGTGGCTTATACAGGGACTTAATTTATTTGATTTTCACCACAGTAACTTGGGACATGCTTGAGACTTGTACATGTGTGACTTACTTCCTCTAGCTGAAACACATTTAACACCTTCTGTGACCTGTGGTATAAAGCCTGTTTGTTATTCCTCTTAGCTTCACACCCCTCAGAATCTTGCTATCGCTGCTTTCCTGTGTTTTAACATTTCACTTTGTTAAAATGGAGTGCACGCATACTTCAGACCTCATCGAATCACTGTTGGGTGTTTGACAGAGGCCACAAAACTTGCTTCTGATCACAACCAACTAAAATTTAGTTAGAGGTAGAATAGGTGTGAAATTTTCTTTTAGTCTCACTAGAGCTAGAGGAAAGGTCACAATGTCATCAAAATGAAACAGTGTTAAATCATCTGTGGTGTAGATGTGACAGCGAAGGTCAAGTCAGCTTGTTAGATTGTCATATTACCGTCCATCCATCCATTTTCCTCCGCTTCTCCGGGACCGGGTCGCAGGGGCAGCAGTCTAAGCAAAGATGCCCAGACTTCCCTCTCTCCAGACACTTCCTCCAGCTCCTCCGGGGGAATGCCAAGGCATTCCCAGGATAGCCGAGAGACATAGTCCTTCTAGCGTGTCCTGGGTCTTCCACGGGGCCTCCTCCCGGTGGGACATGCCCGGAACACCTCCTTAGGAAGGCGCCCAGGAGGCATCCGAAACAGATGCCAGAGCC